ATGTTAATTACAAAGATTGATGCTTGAATAATTGAGAAAAAAATTTAGAGAACATGAAATATTTATAAGGAAAAAACATTTTAAGCCCTTTAGTTTGATTGAAAATAAACTTATTTTATTTTAAGTTTTTATATAATATGTGGCAGTTTAATTGACCGTTTGAAAAAGTGCCTATTTTTGTTATTTTATTTAGGCATTTTTTTTATAAATCTAAAGTAAGAAAATTACATACATTTCTAAAATAAGGAGATATTAATTAAGTATAACTATATGAAGTCACCAAACATTATAGAATACTTATCTTAAATCTTCTTTGAACAAAATTAAGGAAAGAAGCTTAAGATTGAAACTAATGAATTAATCATCGATTATATGAAAAAATTAAAATACAGTGAGTATATTTATAATTTTAATTATATATGTTAATTCCATTTGTGTTTGATGGGTGAAGTCATAAACGATCACCATAGTTTTGTATTGTAGAGTTGTGCAGATAATGTTAAAATCATTTTGCAGATTAGAAGGGAAAAACAAAACAGAAATTATCTGTGAGTGACAATACTGACATAGCTTGCTGCTATTGATCGCTATTAATTCCACCTGATGATAATTAATTCTACTGATTAAATGAGTTGAGTATATCTATTAATGGAGACAGCATGAGAGAAATTAACTTAAGGCAATAATAAAAGAAATGTATTAAAATAATCACAAATCTACAAGCAATTTGCATAAATTAATGAAATATATAGTAATATATATATATATATTGTGTGACATGCATAGGAATTAATTCATATAAGGAAGATCTACTTGGCAGAAGAAAGGAACCCATCAATTCATTGTGATGGTATAATGTGTATAGTTTAATCCCACAAGTTGCTTTGGAAGGGATAGAACATAAATTCCAACATATAAAATATGTGGGTTAGGAATCCTCAATCACTCGATAAGGCAATCAGATCATTCTAAAAGAAAAATAACAAACAACATATTTCTTTACTGAATGCAAACAAATACATGATGATAAAGGATATAGATAAATACTATATAACATTTTGTTATGCTACTTCATGTTGTTAGATATTTTAAACTCTGTTGACTTCGTATTAATCTCTTTTTTAAGAAAAACTATAAAGTTTTCTTTTCAATTTTTTCCCACAAGCATGAGTACATATATGTTCTTATATATATGTATTGTCAATTGCTTACTAATTAACAAAATTATGCATAAGAAGATGATGATAACGACAGAGATGCCTGATGATGACCTTCCTCCTGCTTTGATTAGAATCTTGAGGGTATATGTCACCTTGTAAAGTTCAGTTTAGGAAATTAAATTATTGCATGCATAAAAAATTAGTCAAGAAAATATGCTTCCAATTCATATATGTTGTCATCCATGATCAATGCTTCCGATTAAGGCATGTTGTCATCTTTTGATCCTCTTAATTCTACTGGCTAGAACACCAAATAAGTTATCTCTGCATAATTTTTTCTGCATAACCTTTTACTAAATATCAAAAGCCAAAAGACAGACAAGAGGGCATGTGTTGTTTCTTTATGTCCTGAACTTAGATACTTTTCAAAAGCTTGAACTGTAAACTTTAGGAGACATACAATAGAATTATTAAGCTTTACAAGATAAACGATTTTCTAGGAAAAATGATAACCTGTTTTAAAAAACTCTTGTAAAAAGTAATTGTAACACACAATAACCGTCAGTTTCAATCTGAAATTATTGACCTCTCTTTTGAAGTGTTTTAATTAAGTAGTTTCTACTGTTTACAAAATTTTATTGACCTCTCTTCTGGTTTCTACAGTTTAAAAAAATTGCATTAGTCATACATAAATAAGATAAGTGTATAATATGACCGTCCAGTATGACCGTCCACTCAGTCAAGAACCGGACAATCAACCAAAATACAGTCTCATATGAGTCGGTTGATCAACAGATCGGTCAGACTAAAAACAGAGTTAATACTAAAAACAATTACATTAACTCAAAGTTAGATAATTATAGTTTGAACTGTAATTTAGCTAATACTAATAAGAAGCTCATCCCAAAATCTATAAATACAGGTTTATGGTATTGAGGTAGTTGGTTCCATTAATTGCATACAATACTTACTAACTTTAGTATTGGAGCACTTTCTCTGCGAGTAACAATAATTAAAGTAGATGGGAAGAAAAACTTTGACTTAAACTTTGAGATTGGAGACCATTTGAAGAAGCAAACTTAACCTCGATCCCTCAAACCGAAGCAATAAGTTCTTGTTCAATGAGTCCCTAAACTTTCTCAAAATACATTAGCATGGGACTAAAATAATGGATGCTTAATACTTAAAAATTACTTATAGAATTTAACTGTTTTAGAGACAGTATAGTTGAGAGCTGATATTTAGAGATTGATGATTAACAAATGTAAAAAAATGAAACTACAGTACTTAAAGATGTTTGATATATGTATAATTAATAAGGAAGTTTAGCATCCTTGCGTGTTTACATTAAGTTGCAATTAACAATAGCAGAAAATAAAATGGTATCAAATGGAAGTTATTCCCCACCAATGATTAGGCAAGAAGACAAGGTTGAGAAAAGCTCTTGCTACCAGCATTCCATCTAATCATTGGAGAAAATGTCTTTGCCATAGGCTCATCCCTTTCTTAATAATTATTTAACTTTGTTAAAAAGGTTTATGGGCGATCCTATTGATGGTGGTCCATGATTTTCCAACTTTTCCTTGTCCACTACATGTGTCGCCTTATTCATCACATTCCACAAGATATAAAGTTATGTCACAAGTTTGTAAAGGACCATACTTTCTGACATGATTTTTCAACTTAACCTTCTCAAATTCCAGTTTTGTACGTAATATTGATGATATAATTTCGTCATCCACTATTTAATCTTAGACTAACTAAACTTAATTATTCTCACATCTCTAACAAATGATTAGCTAATTCAAGGGTCTGGAAATTGTTTCTCACCAAAAGCTATCAGTTAATCAATATTGTTATCAGTAAATGTGCGTCTTTAATTCTAGGGACAGAACAAGGGATAAACAAATTAACAGAAAATTTTTGCATCTGCATGAAAACTTTTTTCTCAAAATGTATTTCATGTTCATCAACTGTCATTAACTAACTGCACATTCTTTGAAGATCTTATGCAACAGTTGATCTCATACAATTTTCTAAATGCTTGCCAGCCGACAAGATTAACTATGGATGAAAAAGTGATGATCATCCATGTGATTCAATTGTGATCTACAAAGTAAGTTGAAATAAATCTTCTAAGGTAAATTATGCAGATAAGATCACCCCCGACAAGTTGTTTTCATAAATCAAGACTTTAGCATGTGATCAAAGATTCAATCTTGAAATTCTTATCATTTTGTAAATAAATGTCGGAATTCCAAAAAGATTAGTCCTTTATATTCCATGAATAAATATTTTGATCACCCAAAACTCATCTTTTATGCCCTATTAATTTGCAGCGATCCATGTGCTTCCTTACAGAACTAATATAAAGAAAGAAATATTTTTGAAAATAACTCTTATCAATCACGCCTTTGATATATCTTATCATACTCTTCTAGCTTCATATGCAAGCAATAATTTACATAAGCTGATGGAAAATTGGAGTCACATGATTTGTTTCAAAATTTGGCAGATGGAGGCAGCACTTTGAGGAGGCTGACGTTACATGCCTCCACTAACTTCTCGCACACATTGATCGATACATCCAAGAATGGGATATGTCTCCAAATCTAATTTTATTTTCCTATGGATTCTTCCTACACAAGAATTACCTTAAAGTCCAACGTTTTCTAATTTCACTAGAACGTTGTATATTATACTTTTGTTTTATTTTGTTTCTTTTTTATTATTTCCTAGAATCTCCATTTAAACTTGACCAAATAGGACACTAAAGTGTAATAATTTTAGAATAGAAGACATCGATTTCATGCCTCATTCAGATGTCTATATGCATGGAGCTAGAGTACTAGAGACAGTTTAACTTACCTCACACTAACATGCTTTGTTAGACACGCAAATATACATAAATACATGCAAACAAAGAGAGACAACTACAACCTAGTTACCTCCCAAGTTGTTCTACAACAACCGTGCAACCCTATGCAGAGTTGTAGGCATGACAACCATAAGCAGGAAACAGAAGGTGGTGTCTCGTGTATAACTGTAATTCACTGGAGTGGAAGGACAATGAGACGGATAGAATGGATGTGAGCCATGGCAGAGTTAAAGGTAATGATTGTGATAGGTTTGGAACAACACATTGATAAGTTCCAGCTGTTGTGTTATGCCAATGCTTCAAACATAGGCCATGGTCTCATTTAGTGTCTTGATAGATTGGGATGAACTAATGATTTAACACTTTCAACGTAAAAACAAATATACCTTAGTAATTGCCATCACAACGAGCACCAATTATTTTCAAGCACAGTTCATGTACTACTTAAAAATAGAACAATCCTTGGCAATGCCAATGTATGAATAAGGAAATATAATTTCCCACCTTTACTGAACTTTCTCAAAGAAATTAACGGTAAATATATAATTATTAAGAAAGTTGAATGATGGTCAAATACAATTTATAAATTTCATCTAAAATCTTATTTCCAAGAATCCCATTCCCAGAAAAATAGTTAATTGGAAATCAAAGGTGCTGTGTAATAAACAAACACCACTTATATTCTGTTTTTTAGAGGGGGGTTGTAAATTTTTTTATTTTGGTGGAGCTTAATGAAAATTAATCTATTTAGCCACCTCTACTTAGTGAAATGATGGCTTTCGTTGTTTTAAATGTTTCACAACATGTGCTCATGTAAACGCCGACAAGAAAAGGAATAAAAGACACAAGATATAAAACCGACCATGAAGCCCCAATATGGCAATGTCAAGGACCCAAAACTACTAGAAGTCATATGGATAAAGATAAAAAGGAGCTTACGGACCCAATAAAAAGGAGTCATTATGGAACTTGTCAGCATATTTTAATGATCAAGTTGGGCCAAACGGACACTTCTTCTGGAAAGTACAAGATGAAACAAGTAGCATTTATACTGACTCCACCCTCTATCTATATACAGAAGTCTCCTTAAGTAGATTACTCTGAGATATAGGCTAGAGTGTTAGCTACAGTCAAGAGATAAAAAACAAATACTGTACCATAACACAGCTCCATCAAACGATAAAAAAGGAAAAGTTGTGACGTTCAATTACAAAGCTGCAGTTGCTGTGGTCTAGCTAGCATAACTAGTGCTTCCATCCCTTTGAGTGACCATCTTGCATGTAGGGCTCTAAAAATCCGATAAACTGAAAATAAAAAACATTGAAAAGAAGTAGGTTAAGAATTTATTTTAAATTGACAAGTGCTTGCTAAAAATGAACCCTGCAAGTTGAAAAGTACAAACTTTTCTCTCCAGGTTTAACCTTACTCCCAGCCATTGAATATTAGATGAGTCTAACAGTAGTTACATCAAAATGAAGGTTGAACATATTTTTCATACTTTAAGTTACGAGACAAGATAGGACGGTATACCATGCATTAACCAGTAATGGAAGCAGATAAATACCAAAACTTAGTGGGTATCCACACACCTTACTTCCATCTTCATTCCAGCGGGCACCATATCCATCGGCAACCCTTATTTCAAAGACAACTCCATGCGGTGGGACAGTATGCACATTCAGCCAACAACAATGTGATATTAAGCGGTTAATGGCATCCTTTGCAAGCCTATTTTTATTAGAATCTAGAAGAACATTGAAAAAGACAGGACCAGTGAAAACATGATCAAGTTATGTGAAAGCAGTGCACACTATTAATACGTTCATTAAACATTCCAGCAAACATAGTGAAGCTAACTCGGACAAAATCTTCAGACAAATTTTGTTTGAGCCCAAAGTCAAGATGTCTGCCTGGTTTTGGATCATGCCAAGAGAAAGCTCAAAACACGGATATTGTTGTAGTTAACTAATTGAATGTGGCGTAGTTATGTAGGGTAGCCGTAGGGAAATAGTATAGTAGGACAATTATGCAGGAGTTATTTAATTGTATGTGGTGTAGTTACAGAAAGTATGTTTTGTTTCTCTTTTTGACAATGGGAATTATGTTTTGTTAGAAATAAAGAAGGATTACGGTTAAGTTGTTCGATTATGAAATTCATTCAAGGCTCCTAGTACAAGAGATGTGACTTTTCAAGGGTCTTGGGAATGTGAAGAGTAGGTGGTCTAGTGAAGAATTAATGCATTCGAATTCAAGAGAAGAGTGAGGAATCCACAAGTATGAGAGGTCACTTAAGTGGAGAGTCTCTTGTGAAATGAAAAGGTTTTCAAGTTTCACAAAAAACTTACAATCTCCTTGAGATAGCGGATACTTTACTGGAGTGCTTAAAGAGTCATAGGCAACAGATGTCGAACCAATGTTGTGTCTATCATTTTCTTTTCATTGTGAATGTGTTCCTATTATCATTCCTTTGGTTGGGGAGTTTTCCCAACATGATTAACACTGTTTCATGCTCATTTTGTTGTTCTGCTAATCAGAACTGAGAATTGTTTTCTCAGAGAAGAGCCTTGGATAAGGCTGGTTGGAAAGTTCATCTACCAAAATTGTGTGTACTCTGTAATTCCATTAAGTTCCACTTTTAAACCTTATCAAATTCTTCTATGGGAAACAGATTCCATGACCCAACAAACATAGACAACCAAGGCATCGAAATCAAAAGGAAATTACAAACATATATCTAAAATATTTCATTTTAAAGAAAAAGAATCCTTACCGTTTCCATTTAGAGAACCCCAATAACTACCGATACTCCTACAAGCATGCTTGGCCAACGCACGAGCTCCATGAGTCAAGCCATTTTCCTGAATAATGGTCATATAAGTGGGCATATATAATTTGACTAATAGCATCATCCGGCCAAAAAAAATTATTATAGCAAAACCAGTGAAAAGTTCTCCAGAATCTTAGCAGACGTTATTAATGTGGAGCAGTTGTTCTTAAGGTTCTTACATTTGGATTGCAGGGAAAATTAAAAGAGGCTAATAGAGTTGATATTGGCGGAGGTAATGCATCAGAAATTGTCCCTGTGGTCTGCATCAGACCTAGAAGGCCTTGAACACCTTCATAGCTTAATCCCTATACAAAAGTAGGACAATACAATAGTCAGAAACTATACTAAAGAATTTCTATACGAGAAAACTTGAGTAATGCCATGAACACATGTAAGTATGAATGCATCAGCAGTTATGGTACGGGTTCTGTCCCTCCTATGCAACAGATCAGTGAATAATTACTGATGACTAAGTTAACCATTGTTATTCTGCATAAGAAATAAATACTATGATCATAGGTTTAGTATTGAACTTTCGCAAATCAAAGACAACATCAAACCAATAATTAATCATGTATACTCAAAGTGGAATCAGCCTTTTTAGAGTTATAGATGGTTTTCAAATCAAATAACAGAAAAGTTAATATGGTATCAAAGGAAATTGAGCCCACACAGAATAAGCTAGCCAAAGAATCGTATGGTTGAGGGGTGAATTTTGAAACAATGATTGCAAGAACACCATTTTCATGTTCCTGCTCCTCTGTGTAGAACCTCCGGTAGACTTTTACACCTGTAATGCTATCCAAGTGTTATCCTGGAAGAATCCATATAAGTCTGGAATTGATTAAGCTAAGACAGATTAAATGGTGTTTCTTTCATCTTAAAAACTTTCAGGATTATAAACACAATTTTGAGAACAAATAACCACTTTGAGGTACTTAGTTTGTTCATTAGGAATTGAATAACTCTTAGAATGGCTATTTGTCTAGTAGATACACAATCCGATTCCCCTTCTTTGTCTATAAGAAGGATATGCAGTACCTTCTTCCCCACTTTCAACTCCTGGAAGAACTTTTCCAAGGCTTTCTGCCTCTAACATGGCAAAGAATGTTGGATACCGTCTTACTCCCTACACAGCAAAGCATTAATGCAGTTAAGAGAGAAATGCAAACAAAAACCATTACAGAATAAAGCAAATTATTAACAACACAAAGCAGTACCTGAACTTCGAAAACCACAGACTTGTTAAAGAGAATCAGATTTCCTGATTTAATCCTAGAAACCAAATTAGGAGTTAGAACGATAAATGAAAAAATTAAAAGTAAAATGGCCTTCTATAGCTTATAGTAGATTGGTAGAAAAATATTAACAGAGATAATATCCAAGGACAGTCCATATGATATGGCTCAGGGACTATGATATAGTATCGTATTAAATGCATTTCTGGACTTTGTTATGCAGCTTATTTTGATAGAACTTAGAAAATATGAAGATATCACATAATTTTGCTCTCTAGACAGGTGAGAAAGGCATTTGATTCCATTTTTCTTTTGTTATATTGGAAGGACTAGCACCTAGATAAGGGATGGGTTATGTGGCCAAATGAAGAATCAAACATCTCACGTCTTCACAACCAAATCTTAAAGAATTCAGCCCATACTAATTGAAGCCACAAACCCTTTCGAATTCTGTTCTTGACATGAAAATTCACAAATAACCCAGCTGTTTGTTCAGTTGGTTGACTTTGCCTCCAATTGATTACCCAATACTACTTTCATATGTATTTTACATCTAGAAGACTCAGTTCCAAAAATTCAGACCACATCATTTAATTGGTCTAGGACTAACTCAATTTGAATCACATGCATGGTAGTATGCCACTCTTTTATAGTGGAGGAAATGTGACTGGATGGTGAAAAATTGAAATAAGATTACGGTTGTGCATATTTAAGAACATATTTTTAATTAAAAGTAAATAAATTGAACCTATTGTACTTCCCACTAGCACACCTCCCTTCAATTGTTTTTAGGCCATCTGCAGGAAATAAAATCATACTCCATAAGACTTAGTACACATAAATTGCAGCAGGAATGAGAATGTCCTGTTCTGATAATCAAGGTACTTTGGGTGCAGTTTTTATTCTTCCTTTAAGTGGCAATAGATAAATTTTCTACCCGGCAACACGGTTCAGCAAGAACACATAATTTCCAGACCTGATTACATAGAACTTCATCATATTCAAATAAAGTACAGACTACAAATACCAGTTAGCTGTGAAAAGAAAGGCTCTTGGACGTGGAGTTCAAAGGAAACACCCTTCAAAATCTGTGGAAACAAAACAATATACTGAAACAAGCGTATGCAGTCAAGAAAGTGGACAAATGGATCAGTTAACACAGCATTATTTACGTTTCCTATTTCAAACCCCTTCTCCAGAATCAATTTTTGCCACTGTTGTTGTTTCTGCTGTATGGAAGAATCTTCAAATTCATGGCCCATGGCTAAATTGCTGCCTGTCCTACAAAACGTTCCAGAATCAATACACCTCAACAGAGCTGAAGGCAGACGCTTGTATAAGGGATACGGTGGCACTCCTTCCAAAGAATCTGCAAAAAGAGTCCAAAGACGCATATATGTTGGGTTGACTGTTTGACTCAAGAATTTGGACGGTTATTCGAGGATACACATAAAAAAAAACATCTTCAACTGAAAACACACAAAACAGAATTGTATGTAAGTACCATGTGGTTGTAATTGTGAGTGTGAGGATGATGGGTATGTTGGGTCATCTTTGAGAAGAGTGGAGCAGAATTGAGATGAAAGATTGAGATGGTGAGAGCGAGAACTGAAACTGAACCTAACAAGTTCTTCTAAACAATCACCCAGTTTCACCGGAAACGAACACCGATCACCATTTTCATCGTAAACACTGCCTTTCTTGTCCATTTTCCGCTCAATTCTGTCGCTACTACTGTATTACTTTCTTTGGTTGAATTTCGTGGAATATTTAATTATGAAATTTGAATACATTTTAGAATCTAGAATAGCATTACGATTGAGTTATATAATTTGAAAATACATCCCGAACTACATAATTTTAAAATTTAAATATATATTTTGAATTGTATAATTTAGAAAATATTAATTTATAATTTTTTTACTGAAAAATATATTTAAGATTATATAATTTGAAAAATATTTCCGAATTTTATGATCCAAAATTTAAGAGAGATATTTTAGACCTTTCCTACCCCATTAAGGTGAAGGTGGAAATCAAGAAAATGCAAAAAGTAATTGTCACTTACAAATCATAGGCTCAACCAGATTGCAAGCTTGCCCAAATTTTGTTTGTCCAGTAAATCAATTACTTTTTTACCTCCTTGTTCTTCCTACAAGTAAATATATCATGAGAAATGTCAAAAATACCATCTCATAAGAAGGACTCTAGATTCAATCTAGTAGATTGAATGATCCCAAAGTTTTCTAGAATGTCAATTTCACAAAAAGCAAAAAGTCTTGTAATATTTACGTTGAATTGTACTGTTTTTTAATTGTAAAATTTAAAAATGTATTATGAATTATATAATCTAAAACTATTTTTTTTTTATTTTTGAATTGTGTAATTCAAAAATATATTTTAAATTAAAAATAAATAAATTTTTGTCACTGTTTAGATTGTATACTTCAAAAATATATTACTTAATTTTAAAATTCAAAAATAATTTCTGCACCCTGTATAAGCCATAAATATATATTTTTCTTCAGTTTAAATTTTAATTTTTTTTATATTCACAAATACAAAAATTAACTTCTTTTAATAATCAAAATACGAACTTTAAAACTACATTTTCTAAAGATATAATAACAATAACTAAAATGAATATTTCAAAACAAATTAGGATATATAAGAAGAAAATATAAAAGTAAGATCTAATTTTCATCCACTAAATATACAATTAGAAAACAATTTGAAATAATTTTTTTTTATTTTCTTTTCTCACTTGATCAATTATTTTCTTTTCATTAATAAAACACAAGCTCATCATATTTCTAATATGTTATGTTTTATTTTAGAAGAAGAAGAAAATATTTTTTAATCTATTAGATATTGATATTGAAATATTAATCATTATATTATATAAAATGTTATAGTAATTCTATAAGTTATATTCATCAGGCTAATACTTTGTTAGAAGTAGATTTTAAATCTAACTCAATCTTACATCTTGTAGAGTAAGATTTGCATTCACTTATAAACTATGAATTAACGTTATCTCTAACTTCCAAAAGTATTATTGATAATTATAATATATATATATATATATATATATATATTAAATATATTATTATAATTTTTGTTATCATTCTTAAAACATCCTAATTACATATCAAGAACTTATATTTATATGATCTGAAAACCTAATCAAATGGACAAAAATATTGATTCATCTATTGTAGGATGATTTTTGTACATCGGTAGAGTGCTTGGTTCGGGGTTGTTCCCCAAAGTGCATTCTCTTTTAAACAAAAGTCGTGTGAAAAATATACCACCAAAAGGCAAATTGCAACACCTTTGGTTCATCTTTTGACTTGTGTGTGTATTGGCTATGTACATGTACACGCTACAAATGTTCTATCGGAAGCTGCTTGCGCATTTGCATTCCATTAACCTGTTCCTAACTTCTTTTGGATCAAATCTTTAATAAAACAATTCACTGTTGATCAATTCAGATGCTGTCAAATCTCAATCTCTTTAACTGTTCCTGATTCCAAGGCTTTGGTTGGTGCAAAATGAGGCTCCACAGAACCATCTGAAAGATTATATCGATGCTCATGACGAGTTTTTACAGTCCACAGCACAATCAGCAACACCATGATCACTGCAAGAAACAGCATTCCTAGCCATACCATCTCAGCATATTTTTTCAAAGGCTTGCAGTGGTTGACAAGGACTTGAGAGAATGCTTCTGTTACTAGTTGGCATTCCAACAAGTGTTCCACACTAGGATACACATTCAGCACATCCTGAATTGAATTTGTGTAAGCCTCAACTCTTGTGTATTGGCTCCCGGTTATATAATACAAACTGTCACAGCTTCCATCAATGGCATTCGGACAAGTAAATGGTTTCAATGCCTTCACAGGGAAATGGTGGTGTTAGTATATCCTGGTCTGGTAATTAAGGGCAGAAATAGAACACTCATGAAGACAATATTACCTTTGGGATGTCTCCTATTCTTATAGTGTTAGCAGGGCAGTTCTCTGGCTGGTATAAGTACTTTGGTGGAGCTGAGAAAGGGTTGCAAACATGAGCAAGATTTACATCTGATGTTGCCTGCATGGCTGATATGTTTGCATTCACCTGGCAATGACCAAAACCAGAACATTACTCTTCCTTCATCAGCTGGCTACGTTGGATTGAACACCAACGTTGTTTAAATAATAGACCAACAATCGTTAATGTTAAGAACTATACTTGTTTTTTACCAAATTGATTGGTTGTGTCATTTTAGGGAACAAGTTGAAGTTTACTCTTATTTATATGATTAGAAGGTTCAGTTTGTGCTATTAGTCTGTTGATTTGTGTGCAGTCATAGTGTAGAAGAGGTGATGTTTGTGAATTGTGATTTTGCAAAAAGTTACCTTGTTAACAAGGTCGTAGATCCCCGCACTAACATCAGATAGAACTGATTTTGCAGAGAGCAATTCATCACAAGGGAGGAGTGAGCTTAGGCTGTTGTTATAGGGATTTTCTTGAAAGTTGTCAAGAGCTGTGCATGCATCACCAGAAAATCTGTAACAAAGAAGAACTCTTAATTTTAACTCAAACTTCCACATTATAAACATATTTATTGCTGTAAAAAGATTTAAGCTGTTGAAACTATGTAATTCAGAAAGGACTTGGATTTACTTTTCTAAGAAGAAAAAGACCCCAAAGAGTAGCCAGCATACCACTGTCATCAACCAGCATAATATGACAAGCCTGTGAAAAAAAGAAGAGGAAAACAATAAAACAAAATCTTAGATCTGCAACACAAGATACATGTAAACTTGAATACACTTGCTTCTATAACTTCAAGCTAATGCAGTTTAGCTTTCTTACATGTATAGTGCCCGCCGTAACCGAAGTACTCCAGAAACTGTTCACAAAAATTTCCAACGTTTTATGAGAATCATGTATAATCTGTAGAAAATCAAAATAAGATGTACAGATTTTAATGTCATTAATGTTAAGCACATAGAACAACTGAAAATACCTGTCAGAGCTATTACAGCAACCAAGTTCATGCTTATAATCACTGTGGTAGCTACAAAACTGCAATCAAAAGATTTCCCTTATTGCCACGAAACGAGTTATTCATTTTACATATCATTGGAATAGGAGAGATAGAGGGGAATCTTACACTAGTTTCAAGCCCTTGTTAATAAGGCGCCTATTCTTTCTGGCTTGCTTTTCAATGTTTGCAGATGCATCATCAAGTTTCTCAGTAGTGGAGTCAAGATTTACGGATGTCTCAGCAGTGACATTGGCTTCCATAAGGTTACTTTCCATTCCTTTTAAAGCTCCTGTTGTGTTTTGAATTGTTTCTGATGCCTCATTCGCTGTCTTGATTATAATATTAACAGCAGTCTTAGCTTCAGAATGGAATCTTGCACTCCCAGCAAGAACTAGCCCAGTTGCAACTCTGCAAAAACAAGATCGGTGTATACATACATCACTTGTGGAAAAGCCAGGAGTTTGTGATCGACCAATCTCCAATGAGTAATCAAGTTATTGTAGAGGTGATTTTCATTATTACTTTCAAAACTAAATTTATGGTACTAATTAACAAAGTCCATGCCTTTCTTTGAATCTATGTCCATTGTGTTCAAGTTGTGGTTTTAGATAACCACCTAGTGTGTAAAAAATTGAAGCTAAAGACAATTCCGTTTCAATTTGGAAGACTATATAGTTCTTGCCTATAGTTTTAAAAAAGGTCAATTTCAATGTTTTTGGAGTCTTCACGGCAGCAACTGCTCCAACATTTTCTGCATTGGTAGCTATTTAAAACCTTTAAAATAAGCCTTTCAGGACTGTTATTTGGACTGGTTTATACCCTTTGAGGTTTGGAAGAAAAGGAAATCACAAAAGCTCTTATTCAGAAATAACATTGTTACTTAGGCTAGAGAGACAGGGATGAATCACTTACATAGCAAAAGTAGTGAGTAATATAGCCAAAGGAATTGAAAGATCACAACTCTTGTAATTACAAGGAAAGACTTTCTTAACCCTTCTGTCATTTCTTTGGCAAACCAATGTTATTGCCAAAATGCTTCCATACACAATTCCACACAAAAGGCAGAGCACCCCAATTGCATATCCATATACTCCAGTGAAGATCACCGACTGCAAAATTGTTAAGGACGTGTTAACAACATCTTTGATGCTACAAATCACATTCATGAAAAAAGGGTGAGAGATTTACACTCCAATAGTGCTTGTTGGTGATGTTAAACCCTCCTCTGTATTTTTCGAAGTGATCTAAAGGGTCCACTCTGATGGTACTATCCGATTGTCTAATGGTATCTGACACATTATCTGCATCAAGCGTAAACATAATAATTCTTATTGTCACTGACACAGCTAATAGCAAAATTTTGAAACAAGTGGAATCTGTACCATATATGTATCAGTCACTTAATTTGGTCTATACAAAATTAAATATCATGTTCTGCAAGATCACCATAATCGTTCACTTTGGACCATCAAATTCTTTACGTTTATTCTATACTAGATAATAGATTATTTAAAAGTACGTTGTTAATAGCTTTTTAATGCTTGAAGGACAACATAATAAATGGTGCAAAACGTTAATGGATATCATATTCGTACGTATCACAGAGACTGATTTCCATTTGATTTTTCCCTAAAATGTACGCCCTCAATTTACGGTTGTTGCTTTCCACCATACGTTAATCAGTCGTGTACGTTATTTAATTCTTACCCGATTGGGCAATTCATGAGATTTGACAAGGAACTGATTTTTCAGTCATATGATT